CCATTTCAGTCCTCGGAGGAGGTTGTGGCACTCTCTGCCCAAAGTCAGCCCAGCTTGTGAGCGAGCAAGTGAATAAATGAATGAGTGAGCCATCAAGCAAGTGAATGAGTAAATGAATGAATGAGGGAGTTAAGGAATGAATGAATGAGGGAAGGAGTGAATGAATGAATGAGGGAGGGAAGGAATGAATGAATGAGGGAAGGAGTGAGCGAATGAGGGAAGGAGTGAATGAATGAGGGAGGGAGGGAATGAATGAATGAGGGAGGGAGTGAGCGAATGAGGGAAGGAGTGAATGAATGAGGGAGGGAAGGAATGAATGAATGGGGGAAGGAATGAGGGAAGGAGTGAATGAATGAATGAGGGAGGGAGTGAACGAATGAGGGAGGGAGGGAATGAATGAATGAATTGGGGACGGAGGGAAGGCACACTGTCCTGGACACATAGGCCAAGGGTGCCGTTAGGTGGGACCATCCTGCTTGCTCTGAGTGGTGGAGCCTGTTTGGGGAGAACCGTCCTAAGAAGTTATTTTTTTTTAATATGTGAGTAAGTCCTGTTTTTAATACATTGATTCCAGAGAGGAAGGGAGAGGGAGAGAGGGACAGAAACATCAATGCTGAGAGAATCATGCAACGGCTACCTCCTGCACGCCCCCTACCGGGGACTGAGCCCACAGCCCAGGCATGTGCCCTCGACTGGAATCGAACCTGAGACCCTTCTGTCCACAGGCCGACGCTCTACCCACTGAGCACACCAGCGAGGGCCTGGGGGACGTCACTCAGCCGGAGGGCCTGCAGCAGCTGCGCTGGCACTGGGTTGAGGCACGCTGAGGGCGTGGCTCCCCTGGCTTCTGGGAAAGGACTTTAAACGGCACAGCACCCGCGTCCCCCTCGGAGGCCTTGGGGTTGGGGTTCAGTTTGGGCGCGGCAGGAGCTGTGTGGTCCCCCTGCATGGCCTGGGCTTCCTGGTTGATGCCGGTGAGCGTAACTCAGGCTGTGCGCCATCCATGTGTCTGTCTGTGAAGTGTCCGATCTGTGCCCATTTTCTTTTCTGAATTAAGTGATTTTCCAATCACGGTTATGTTCAGTGTCACTGTGTGTGAGTTTGGGTGCACGGCTGGTGGTTAGACACCCATATACGGTGCAGAGTGCCCACTGGCGTGTACATAGCCATAACAGTTTTTTAATTGATTTTAAATCAGTGTCGTCATTGATTTTTAGAGAGAGAGCAAGGGAGAGATAGAAACATTGATGAGAGCCCTGGATGGTTTGGCTCAATGGGTAGAGCGTGGGCCTGTGGACTGAAGGGTCCCGGGTTTGATTCTTGTCAAGGGCACATACCGCCATTGCAGGCTTCTCTGGCCTGGGCCCTGGCAGGAGGCAGCCCATCAATGCGTTTCTCTCACATGGATGTTTCGCTGTCTTCCCTCTCTCCCACCCTCTAAAAATCAGCGGGAAATGCCCTCCAGTGAGAGTTAGTAAAAAGAGGAACATCGGTGAGAGGAACATCCTCCGCGGGTCGCCTCCTGAGCCGCCACCAGCAACCAGGCGGGCGACCTCTGGTTCCCGGGTCCCCGGTCGCCAGCCAGCCAGGCGGCCGGCTGTTACTGCTCCACCCATTCCCTCTCTGGCTGACTCCGGGCTGCTGTGACCACCGCTGCAGCCCAGCCCTCACCCCCTGGCGCGGCCGCGCCCCGGCAGCGGGGTCGTGGCTTTCCTTGTTGGTGTGACCGTTCTTTCGCTCTGGGGAGGCCCCGTCCACGCAGCCGTGTTCTCCGAGCAAAGCTTCCGCTTCCCATTCCTGTGCCTGTGCGCCTGCCCTCCCCCATCAGCGTGCTGGCCTGGCCTGGCTCACTCTGGGGGAGCTTTGGGGGGGGGGGGCGGGAGCGGGAGGGCCCGCCTGGCCTCACCCCTGCGCTCAGTGTTCCCCGCATTCGGCTCCGTTGCCTCTCCCAGGGATTTAAAGCAGCGGGTGGAGACCTCGGAGAAGGCTTGCTGGGCCCACCCCCCTCCTCGGAGCCCTCGGCTCGGATCCTGTGCTGGTTCTGGTTAGATTAGGTTTTTCCGTTTTTGCTGAGGAGCCACTGTAAATGGAATTTTAAAAATTAGCTTCCGGCCCGGCCCGCGTGGCTCAGTGGCTCAGCGTCGACCTATGAACCAGGAGGTCAGGGTTCAATCCCAGCCAGGGCCCAGGCCCGGGTGCGGCTCCATCCCCAGTGCGGGGCGTGCAGGAGGCAGCCGGCCCTGATTCTCTCCTCGTGGATGTTGTCTCTCTCCCGCCCTTCCTCTCCGAAATAAAAAACTCACACTGCGCTTCCCTAGTGTGCCACTCGGTTGTCTGTTGAGGCCGGTAGCACTACGGCTGCTGTTCATGGGCGGCATTTGGAGGGTTCGCTGAGCTCACGGTCCAGGAGGTGCTCGGGGCTCAGGTCCGCCAGCAAGAAGGGCCGCCTCCCTCCCAGCGCCACGCTGGCGGCCCGCAGGACGGCGCGGCCCAGGCCCTGCCCCGCGCTGGCATCCTATAGGACGGTGCTGGCCCGGGCCTGCCCCGCGCTGGCATCCTATAGGACGGTGCTGGCCCGGGCCTGCCCCGCGCTGGCATCCTATAGGACGGTGCTGGCCCGGGCCTGCCCCGCGCTGGCATCCTATAGGACGGTGCTGACCCGGGCCTGCCCCGCGCTGGCATCCTATAGGACGGTGCTGGCCCGGGCCTGCCCCGCACTGGCATCCTATAGGACGGTGCTGGCCCGGGCCTGCCCCGCGCTGGCGGCCCATAGGCCCTGCCCCGCGCTGGCATCCTATAGGACGGTGCTGGCCCGGGCCTGCCCCGCGCTGGCATCCTATAGGACGGTGCTGACCCGGGCCTGCCCCGCGCTGGCATCCTATAGGACGGTGCTGACCCGGGCCTGCCCCGCGCTGGCATCCTATAGGACGGTGCTGGCCCGGGCCTGCCCCGCGCTGGCATCCTATAGGACGGTGCTGACCCGGGCCTGCCCCGCGCTGGCGGCCTATAGGATGGTGCTGGCCCGGGCTGCCCCGCGCTGGCATCCTATAGGACGGTGCTGACCCGGGCCTGCCCCGCGCTGGCATCCTATAGGACGGTGCTGGCCCGGGCCTGCCCCGCGCTGGCATCCTATAGGACGGTGCTGACCTGGGCCTGCCCCGCGCTGGCATCCTATAGGACGGTGCTGACCTGGGCCTGCCCCGCGCTGGTGGCCCGGAGGACGATGCTGACCCGGGCCTGCCCCGCGCTGGCATCCTATAGGACGGTGCTGGCCCGGGCCTGCCCCGCGCTGGCATCCTATAGGACGGTGCTGGCCCGGGCCTGCCCCGCGCTGGCATCCTATAGGACGGTGCTGGCCCGGGCCCTGCCTGGGCGGTCAGGTTCAGTGGTCCCTCCGTCGCGGGGATGTGGAACTCCTCTGAGGTGCTTCTGGCGCCTTGAGGAGGTGAGGGCTTCCTGACCCGCCTGGCGATGGTGACGATGGATTTCTGGCGTGGAGCCAGCCCTGCCTCCCTGGACACGCCGCGCGGTCCGGCCTCGCCCTGCCTCTGCTCAGGAGGGTCCCGGGCGTCCTGGCGGTGTGCTGTGCTGAGCGGGAGCTGCTCCCTCAGCGGACGCTGCTCTCGCCCTTTTCCTGGGAGGTCGGGCGCTGCGTCCGGGGTCAGCTGCCGGTTTCTCCTGCGGAGGCTTCTCGCCGTCCGCTCCTTCTCGGTGGTGAGGCTGTTCAGACGGCGTCCGCCCAGTGAGTGGCGCCTGTGCCCTGTGCCCTGTGCCCTGTGCCTGGGAATCGCGGCCTGTGGCCCAGCGTCTCCGAGCTCGTGCTCACTCACGTGTGCGAACGCAGTGCGGACGGCCACTCCCCCGCCAGCACCCGTCAGTGTCTTCCTCTGTCTGTGGAGGTTTGTCCATTTTGTCATCTTCCCGAAGAGCCAGCTTTTGGGTTGATTTCCTCTCCTGGCCTGCCCTCCCCTTGGGCCTGATGGGCCCTCGCCTCGTGTCTTCGTGGCTGGGTGAGGCCTCTCTCCGGTGGCTCCGGCGCGCGCTGCCCTCCGAGCTCTCCTGGCCGCCCCGCGCCCGCTGCCTCCATCCCGTGGCCTTTGGGTTGCCCGGGCCCGGGAGCTCCCGCCCTGCCCGTGTCGATCGCGCACGCCAGCTGGTCAGGGAACGTGCCCGCTGTGCCAGCGCTCCGAGCGCGCTCGCTGCTGGTGTGGCCGGCGGGCTGTCCTGGTGAGCGCCAGCCCCTTCAGTCCGGCTCCTCGGTCCTCTTCCCCTCACAGCCCAACTTTGGTGCCAGTGGGCACTCTGCCTGTGGCCTGGCATGTCGGGCATCTGTCCTGCTCCTGGGGTTCCGATGCCTACCTTGGGAACTGAGTGACAGCTCGGGGATGGCACGGGAAGTCTGGGTTTCCTGGCTGGGAGGCAGACGTGGGGCTTGTCAGGCTGACGTCCGTGTGGGAGAGCACGAGAGGCCTGCTGCCTGGCCTGGCAGTGGCGTGGGCTGCACAGCCCTCACGCTTCCGTCCTGGGGGGTACGCTGGGGGCCCAGAGTGTGCGGGCTTCTGGGAGGTGGGCCTGGTCTCCGTGCAGACGCTGCAGCGAGGCCGGTGGACGTGCAGGCATGTCCCCTGGGCTGGATACCATCCTCTGACGTTGTGTTGCCCAGAACAGTGGGCCTGTGGGTGGGGCCTTGGTGGGGGAGGCAGATGCCTCACAGCCTGGGGCATTGGCATCCTGGTCTGCCCATGGACCCTCACCCAGGCACCTCCGGGACCCTCCAGAGAGGGGTGCCTGGCTGACCGCCTGGGTGCTCCCCACGTGCAGGGACCCCCAGAGGCTCCCGGCAGTGTGGGCCAGGGCCGGGCTCCCCAGAGACTTGATGGTCCATCTCCTGCAGTGACTGTGAGCTGGAGGCCGAGGGTGGAGGGTGGTGGTCCAGCTGTGGCTTCTCTGGGCTCGAGGCGGGTGGGAGGCGGGCGCCCTGAGCACCTGTGACCTTGCAGGTTGTGCAGTCTGACCTTGAAGAAGCTGGTGGTCTTCAAGGAGCTGGAGAAGGAGCTCATCTCGGTGGTGATCGCTGTGAAGATGCAGGCAAGTGCCCCTCCTGGCCTGGGCTCCGAGGTGCCCGCCGCCCGCCCGAGAGGGTGGCTCCGCAGGCAGCAGGGGAGTGTGGGGAGCAGGGGCCTCAGCTGCGGCTGCTGGAGGGCAGTCCTGAGGCTCCGGCAGGGCTGGGGTCCTCCTGGGGCGCAGTCCTGTCCCCCGAGGGCAGACGGGCCTCCCAGAGCACGGTGACACCCTGTGCCCACCCCGTGCCCACACCCCGTGCCCACACCGTGCCCACACCCTGTGCCCACCCCGTGCCCACACCCCATGCCCACACCCTGTGCCCACCCCGTGCCCACCCCATGTGCCCACACCCCGTGCCCACACCCCGTGCCCACACCCCGTGCCCACCCCGTGCCCACACCCTGTGCCCACACCCTGTGCCACCCCGTGCCCACACCCTGTGCCCACCCCGTGCCCACACCCCGTGCCCACCCCGTGCCCACACCCCGTGCCCACCCCATGCCCACACCCCGTGCCCACACCCTGTGCCCACCCCATGCCCACACCCCGTGCCCACACCCTGTGCCCACACCCTGTGCCCACCCCATGCCCACACCCCGTGCCCACACCCTGTGCCCACCCCGTGCCCACACCCTGTGCCCACCCCGTGCCCACACCCGTGCCCACACCGTGCCCACACCCTGTGCCCACCCCGTGCCCACGCCCTGTGCCCACCCAGCACCAGCCCCAGGCTGGCCCAGCTGCGCTTCCCTCCTCTGGTGCCCCGATGCCACACAGCCCTCAGCTTCCGGGCAGTTTGGGTCAGTGACGGGGTCAGGAGGCTTCAGCCCCGGCCTGCCTCGGCCTCAGGAGCTGTGGATCCCCATCCCCACATCTCGGTGCTGAGGCAGATCCCCAGGGCACTTGGGGGCCGAAGACCAGGGCTGCCCCACGGCCCCGTAGGCGCTGGGACCCTGCTCCCCAGCGCGGGCTCCTTCCCTGCGGAGAGAAGGGTGGGCTGTGCGGGCAGAGGCCCGCCAGGAGGCGCTGAGTGAGCCCTGTCTCCCCCCAGGGCTCCAAGCGCGTCCTGCGGTCCCATGAGATCGTGCTGCCCCCCAGTGGACAGGTGGAGACGGACCTGGCGCTGACCTTCTCCCTGCAGGTGGGCCTCTGCACAGGTGACCCGGGCAAGGGGGGTAGGGGGCAGCACCCCTCCTGGGAGAGCGGACAGCGAGGCCGAGGGGGGGGGGGGTCCGTTCTGTTTGGAGAAGACCGGGCGCCTGGGAACTTGGTGTGTGAGCTCAGGCCCTTTTGGAGCTGGGCCGTGCAGGTGGCTCGGCTTACACCGGGTCACCCCAGGGTGAAACAGACGCCCCGGACTCTGTCTGCAGTGCCCAGAGCCTGACCTGGCCAGAGGGCGTGGCCCGCCTGTGGGCCTCTGGCTGAGTGGGCCCCGCGTGGGGCCCCTGCCTGCCGGTCCGTCTCCCACGGAGCGTGTGTGGACAGGGTTGTGGTCTCAGACACCCCGAAGCCCCCTCCCACCCTGGGCTTGGCTCTGATGCCCACACAGCACACCGGGGTTCTGTGTTGGTTTTCTTGGGGGAGGGGCAGGTCTATAATTTACAAAATGTTCAAGTCATCCTTTTTCTTAAATACATGCCCAGCCCTGGCAGTGTTGCCCAATGGTTAAAGCGCCGGCCCACACACCAGAGGGCTGCAGGTTCGATTCCTGGTCCAGGGCTTGTACCTGGGCTGTGGGTTCTCTCCTCGCCTCGGTCAGGGCTCCTGCAGGAGGCAACCAGCCGATGTGTCTCTTTCACAGTGTTTCTCTCTCTCCCTTCCCTCCTTTCCACTCACTCTGAAAGGCAGTGGAGCCCTAGCCGGTTTGGCTCAATGGGTAGAGCAGGGTTCTTCAAACTTCTCTCATTATGAGAATCACCTGGTGGAGTTGTTAAAACACAGATTCCCGGATCCTAACTATAAGAAGTGCTATCAGGAATCTGTGTTTTAACACCTCCACCGGGTGATTCTCATAATGAGAGAAGTTTGAAGACCCCTGGTAGAGCATCAGCCTGGGGACCAAAGGGTCTTGGGTTCGATTCCGGTCAAGGACACATGCCTGGGTTGTGGGCTCCATCCCCAGTGGGGGACTTACAGGAGGCAGCCGATCCATGATTCTTTCTCATTGTGGATGTTTCTCTCTCTCTCTTCCTTCCTCTCTGAAGCCAATAAAATGTGTTTACAAGAATAAAAGTAAAAAGCAGTGGGAAACGTCCTCGGGTGAGGACTAACAGGACAAGTAGAGGTGCACAGTGTGAGCCCGCAGTGGGTGTTCTGTTTTTATTAAATATGTCTGTGTTGGTCTCGGAGAGGAAGGGAGAGGGAGAAACACCCATGATGAGAGAGAACATGGATCGGTTCCTCCCTCACTGCCTCCACCGGGGACCGAGCCCACACGCGGGGCCTGGGCCGGGATTGAATCTGGGACGTGCTCTATCCACCCAGCCACCTGCCGTTGTGTTTTCAATCGTAACTAAGGACGTGCTTTTCACATTGATTTTTAGAGAGGGTAAGGGAGAGGGAGGGGAAATCACCCATGATGCCTCCCGCACCTAACCTGGGATGTGTCCTGACCACATTCGAACCCGAGACCCTGCTTTGCAGTGAGACACTCCAGCCACCTGAGCGCGCCTCCAGGCCCCCCCCCCAGCTTGGGAGGTTGGTTCCATTGTGAGCACCTCCTCTTACACGCGCTCTGATGTCCTGAGCCACCCGCTCCGCCCACGGGGGACCCGGCCGCCCGGTGCCCGCACTGGGAGCCTGTGCTGATGGCCATGGCCCCAACGCATACTCGCTCACTCATAGCTGTTCCTAGTGGGTGGGCCGGTGGTGACCTTTGGTGACCCCATGGCCTGGGGGGGCTGAGCCCTCGCAGCGTGCCCCTCCCCACAGTACCCCCACTTCCTGAAGCGGGAAGGCAACAAGCTGCAGATCATGCTGCAGCGGAGGAAGCGCTACAAGAACCGGACCATCCTGGGCTACAAGACGCTGGCCGCGGGTGCCATCCACATGGCCGAGGTGAGGCCACGTCCACGCCCACGCCCCCCACTCCCCTGCCCTGCCCCAGCTCCGCCCTCCCCGCCCCATCTCCTCCTCCCTGTCCTCCCTCCTCTTGCCCCGCCCCTCCATTGCTGACGGAATGGGTGCCCCTGCCTCGGCTGCAGGTGATGCAGCGCCCGCCCGAGGGCGGCCAGGTGCTGAGCCTGTGCAGCAGCGTCAAGGAGGCCTCGGCCAAGGTGGCCGAGATCTGGATCTTCTCCCTGTCCAGCCAGCCCATCGACCACGAGGACAGCACCATGCAGGCCGGCCCCAAGGCCAAGTCCACGGGTGAGTGCGCAGCCCGAGGCCCTTCCCCGCCTCCTGCCCCCGCCCTCCAGTCATCCTTTGGGGGCTGGCGCTTGCCCCGGGCTGGCTGCGGGTCCCAGCCCTGCCCTCGGAGGCCGTGGCATCGTCTGGCAGCAGAAGTCACGGGTGTTCGGGTGCCTGCGGGGCCTGTCACCACCGCCCTGTTGGGGTCATGGTCCCCTGTGGGGTGAGGGGGGCCGTGGGGGCCCAGTCAAGCCTGAGATGCCGGCTTAACCCTGTGCTGGGCAGGAAGGGCTGCGGTTCCTGGAGTGGTGGGGACTCACGGTGGTGGAGAAGCCCAGGGCACGCACGCGCCCCCCCCCCCCCCCCCCCCCCCCGCCAGGACACAGGCAGAACCCCGCGGCGCTGACCTTCCGCGCTCCGTTCCGCAGACAATTACTCCGAGGAGGAGTACGAGAGCTTCTCCTCCGAGCAGGAGGCCAGCGACGACGCGGCCCACGGGCAGGTACCCGGCACGTGGGCCCGAGCTGCGGGCGGCAGGGCGGGGCTCGGCGCCCACCCGAGGGCGCCCAGAGGCGGCTCCCGTCTGCCGGAGGGGGCCCTGCCCGCGCCGCCCGCTCAGCCGTGCCCCCGCAGGACCTGGACGAGGATGACTTCGACGTGGGCAAGCCCAAGAAGCAGCGGCGCTCGGTCGTGAGGGCGGCCTCCATGACCAGGGTCCGTGGACACGCTTTGCTGACATTGGGGGGTCCGGGGCGGCGGGTGGAGCCTCAGGTCAGGCAGCGAGCTGCCACGCCGGCCTCAGCACACGTCTCCTAGAGACGGTGTGCAGGTGGCGTTGCCACGTGTGGCCGTGGTGGGGTCTGCGTGGTGCTCGGTGAGCCAGCTCCCCTGGCAGGTGCGTCACATGGGGCTCCAGGCTGCCCCCTGCTGCCCAGAGGGACTGGCAGGCTGTCAGCTCCAGGCTCAGCGTGTCACAGAAGGTCCCCCTGGTCCCAAAGCCGGGGCGCAGCTGCCCCACAGCTGTGGAGGGGGAGCAGCGGGGTGGGCCTCCTTGTGTAGGCTGCCCCCCACGGGGGGGGCTGAGAGCAGCCAGAGCTGCCCACGCACCAGCAGCCCAGCGGGCGCCTCGGGACGGGCAGTGGCGCTGGGAGAGCCATGGAGGTGCCCGGGGGGGGGGGGGTGCTGAGTCTGCCACACCGCGGTGAAGTGCCTGTGGAGGCCCCTGTTGTGAGCTCTGGGAGCCCGTTTACAGACGCCGGGCTGAGCCTGCTATCCCCCCACAGCAACAGAACTTCAAGCAGAAGGTCGTGGCGCTGCTGCGACGGTTCAAGGTGTCCGAGGAGGTGAGCCGCCCGCTCCCCGTCACCCCAGCGCCTGTCTGCGGGGCGGCGGGTGGGGACCCCTCGAGGCTGTGCCGAGGCCCGGGAGACCGGCGTTGTTTCTTGAATTTTAACTCAAGGACCAGCCCCAGGGGCAGGGCATGAGGGGCCCGCCTCCTGCCTGTCGCACCCGCGGCCTCTCTGCAGGGCCGGCCAGTGTCCTGACTCCCCTGGAAAGGCGGGGCTCCCGTAAACCGCAGCGTGGGGAGAAGCAGCTGGAGTCGTGCCCTCTGACCTCATCACCACCCTCAGGGCTGGGGGCGGGGCGTGGGCGTCGGGAGCACAGGCTGGGCTCCAGGTGGGGATGCCTAGGGCCTGGGCTCTTCGGGAACAGCTCTCGCAGCACAAGGACCCGGCGGACATCGCGTCCCCGCCCCCCCACTCGCCCCACCGGACTGACACCACCGCCCGGGGATGGAGGCTGGTGTGGGGGCTGGAGCTGAACTCCCGCTGAAGACGGGCAGGCGAGGCTCCTCGGAGACACAGGAGAGCCGGGGCGGGCACAGCGTCGCCCAGAGGCCAGGTGTGGGTGTGACCCTGCGGCACCTTCGGAGTCACAGGCGGGGCTTCTCCCTCGGTGGAAAGGGAGCCGGGAAGAGCCCGAGAGGCGGCGCCTCCGGCAGGCGGAGCAGGAACAGCTCAGACGCTGCTGGGTCCGCGAGGAACGGGCGAGGCCGGCGCGTTTTCTCCAGAGACCAGCCGGTGCGGGAAAGAGGCAGGCGTCTGCTCAGAACGCAGACCCGCCATGGGGACGCCAGGTGGCCGCACGCGGAGCGGGGACACGGGCGCCCAGCGGGGGCGCAGGAGGGACGTGTGGCGGGTCTGCCCGTGAGGGGACTGCCCGCGAGGACCGCCCCCACGCGCCCTGCGTGTAGAGGCTGGGTCGCCCCGCGCCGGCGCCATGGGGCCGGGGCACACGGCTGCCGGGAAGGGCCTGGCGCAGACGCCCGAGGGCGGCCCGCTGTGCTGCAGGCTCCCGCTGGGCCTGCCCAGGGCCCCGCACCCGTGTGGCCTGGCCATGCAGCAGCAGGGCCTGCGCCGCTGCCCCCGGGTCCGGCATCCGCGCCGTGAGGAGCCTCCGTCCGAGGGTCCCGGGGCCGCCCAGTGCCTGTGGCTCTGTGCCCTCTGCCCTTTGCCCTGTGGCCTCCCTCAGCCTGCGCCACCTCACGCCCTGTCCCGGCTGCAGGTCCTGGACTCGGAGCAGGACCCCGCGGAGCGCGTGCCCGAGGTGGAGGAGGACCTGGACCTGCTGTACGACACCTTGGACATGGAGAACCCCAGCGACAGCGGCCCCGACCTGGAGGACGACGACAGCGTGCTGAGCACCCCGAAGCCCAAGCTCCGGTGCGGGCGCGGGGGGGGGGGGGGTGCGGGCGCGGAGGGGGCGCGGGCGTGGGTCAGCACAGGGCGGGGGCGGCGTGGAGCCCACGGGTTCCCGGAGCGGGGGCGGGGTCACAGCCGGAGAGCTGGGTCCCGGGGTGCCGCCTGCAGGAGGCGGTGGGCAGTGAGGCTGTGGGTGCCCCCAGGGTGCTGGCGGCCAGGCAAGGCGCCCGTCATGGGAGCCGGGAGGAGAGGGCACACTGCCGGTGAGGTGTGGCTGCCCCAGGCCTGCCCTGCCTGCCTGCCACGCAGCGAGCGATCCCGCCCCCGCCCATCCACGCCCCCATGTAGCTGTCCCCAGACGCTCGGTCCCGCCATCTTTCCGGTCTGAGCTGCCGCCCAGCCTGAGAGCCTGTGAGGCCCTTGCCCTCCGCATGCCTCTGTCCGCCGGGCCCGCCTCTCCCTGCGAGCCGGCGGGTGGCAGGAGGCGGGTCCGGTCGGCCTGTGGGCAGGCTTTCAGGGCCTCCGTCTGTCTCAGCCGCCGGCCGCCTGTGTCCTCCCCTGAGCGGAGGTTCAGGACGGGCCTTCTGGGGAGCGGCTCTGCGGGGTCCCTGCAGGGGGGCGGCTGTGCCCTCGGGCGCGGAGGGTCCTGGACAGTAACCTGCCCCCCCTAGGCCCTACTTCGAAGGCCTGTCGCACTCCAGCTCGCAGACGGAGGTCGGGAGCGTCCACAGCGCCCGCAGCCAGAAGGAGCCTCCCAGCCCGGTGAGTGCTGGGTGGCAGCAGGGGGCCACTCAGACCCGTTGTCCCCGCCGGGTCACATACAGCGGAAAACAAACCCAGTGCTCTTGTGCTGGCTCGTGTGGCCGAATCCCGCCCAGCAAGGCGACTGCTTGAACCCACGCCCTCAATCCCAGCGTCTCCCGTCTCGCTCACAGGCTGACGCGCCTGAGAAGACGTGGGCCCCGGGGGTCAAGCCGCTCAGTGACAGCGTCTCGGAGCCAGTGGCCCACGTAAGCAGACACGGGTCGCCCACTGCTGGAGTAGACCACAGCCCTCTGCTCCGGCCGCCTCTGTGGACAGGGCGTGCTGAGGCGCCTGCTGCCCCAGGCTCTCAGGAGGGGTCCCAGGCTCGGGGCCCAGGGGCAGGTGTGGTGCTGGCCGCCCCGAGGTGCCAGGACCAGCCCATCCATGATGGGAGGTCGTCGGCTCGGCTCAGCGCCCAGGAGTGCGTGTGGCCGTGCCCCAGGCAGGAGCTGCCAGCTTGCAGGCGGCCTGGACATGCCCACACGCCAGGGACCCCTGAGTGTATGCCCTCAGCACCGTCCTTCCTCCCCCAGAGCACGCCCACCCCTGGGGAGCAGCCGGCTCCGCCCCCGGACAGCCCGGAGCCCGAGACCTCCGCCCTGGACATGTTCACCGAGCGGCTGCCGCCCAGCGGGCGCATCACCAAGACCGAGTCCCTCGTCATCCCCTCCACCAGGTGACAGAGCGCGGGGGTGAGGCGGGTGCCGTGTGGGAGGGCCCTGCCCTGGGGGGCGGTGGTGGAAGGACACCCGCAGCTGCAGCTGTGATGAGACCGCTCGGAGGCGCACACCGGCCCCCACACCCGGCTCCAGCCGCACCAAGTCGGCGGGCGCAGAGCGGCTGCCTGCTCCAGCGGGAGGCCTCGGTGGCTGTTGCCTCCCCGGCCAGTCCGGGTGCGAGGCGCTGTCCGCTCTGCTGGGCGCTGGGGAGGAGCGCCCCTCGGAGCCCACGGAGGCGCCATAGCACCGGCGGTGAGCCTGCGCCAACCCGGCCGCCGCCCCAGGTCCGAGGCCAAGCAGGCCGGCCGCCGGGGCCGCAGCACCTCCCTGAAGGAGCGGCAGCCGGCACGGCCGCAGAGCGAGCGGGCCAACAGCCTGGACAGCGAGCGCTGCCCTGACACGCGGAGCCACCTGCAGGTGGGTGGTGCCCAGCCTCTCCCTCATCCCCTCGGCCGCCCCTGTGCCCGGCCGCCTCTGCCAGCGTTGAGTGCTGCCCACTTCTGGGTGCCGCTGACAGTGGGGGGTCGCTGTGTGTGTAGGGGGGCTGCTGGGGGGAGAAGGGGTCGCTGTGGGGGGCCGCTGCTCCCCCCGTGTGGACGGCTGTGTCTCCAGATCCCCAGGAAGACCGTGTATGACCAGCTCAATCACATCCTCGTCTCCGACGACCAGCTGCCCGAGAACATCATCCTTGTCAACACCTCCGACTGGCAGGGGCAGGTGGGCCGTGGCCGCCCAAGGGTGGGGGTGGGGGAGGGGGGCGGCCCGGGCCCACCATCACCCTCGTCCCCAGTTCCTGTCGGACGTGCTGCAGCAGCACACGCTGCCCGTGGTGTGCACCTGCTCCGCGGCCGACGTGCAGGCCGCCTTCAGCACCATCGTCTCTCGGATCCAGAGATAGTGAGTCCGCCCCATGGCCATCTCGGGGCCCTGCCCGGCCTGGCCTAGGCGGCCAGGGCTGCGGGTGGCTCTGGGTGGGGACCAGGGGCTGTGGGCGGCTCTGGGAGGGGTCCCCAGGGGCCTGGAGGGGCCCAGGGATGTGGGCGGCTCTGGGAGGGGACCCGGGACTGCGGGTGCTCTGGGTGGGAGCCCAGCTCGGGCCCTGAGTGTCTGTCCCTCTGTCCTGCCGGCTGCAGCTGCAACTGCAACTCGCAGCCCCCGACGCCCGTGAAGATCGCGGTGGCGGGGGCGCAGCACTACCTCAGCGCCGTGCTGCGGCTCTTCGTGGAGCAGCTGTCCCACAAGACGCCCGACTGGCTGGGCTACATGCGCTTCCTGGTCATCCCGCTGGGTGAGCAAGTGGGCCTGGGCTGGGGCTGGGTGCTGGGCTGGGGCTCTTGTCAGAAGCAGCGCGGGGCTCGGCGCTGGTCCCGTCAGGCCTGGCGCCCAGGAGCAGCCGCCTCGGGGTGCTCACGCTGTGGGCCGGCCAGACGCCGATGCTTCCTCCCCGCAGGCTCCCACCCCGTGGCCAGGTACCTGGGCTCCGTGGACTCACGCTACAGCAACTTCTTCCAGGACCTGGCCTGGCGCGGCCTGTTCAACCGGCTGGAGGCCCAGAGCGCCGGTGAGCGGGTGCATGCCCCCCCAGCAAGGCTGGCATCTCCCGAGCTGAGGCCCAATGCACCCACTTCCTCAGCCACCACCCCTGGGTGCCAGGTGGGAGGGTGTGAGCGGAAAGGGCTCCCCGAGCTTGGTGACCGGGCCTGGGCCGGGAGATGTAGTGAGGGCAGCGAGGACCCGTGAGGGTGCGGGGTGTGGGGTGCAGGGGCCTCGGGAGCAGGCGTTAAGGGGCCCAGCACAGGCCTCACGCCCCTCACAACCCCGTGGCCTCGTGCAGTGCAGGACACGCTGGACATCGTGTCGCGGATCACGCAGTACATCGCGGGCGCCAACTGCGCCCACCAGCTGCCCATTGCAGAGGCCATGCTCACCTACAAGCAGAAGAGGTGCCTGGAGGGCCGCCCGGGGGGTGAGGGCAGGCGCGAGGGGGCCCCCCACACTGCAGACCCCTCATCCCGCTCCTGGGGAACAAATGGCTGGTCCACGGGCCGGGCCGGGTGAGGCCGTCCTGGTCTCCACAGCAGGACCCTCGCTGGCCCGGGGAAGCTAGGCAGGCCGGCCGAGTGTCTGTGCCGCGAGCCGCGATTCCTCTCGGAGGGCTAGGAGAGCAGCTGTCACGGCCCCACCAGCAGCCGGCGCCCCTCCCGGGCAGGCGGTCCGCAGCGGGAGCCGGGCCTGGGTGCGGGGAGCCGAGTGCACAGGCAGGGAGCGGGGGGCGGGGTTCAGGGACTGAGCGGCCCTGCTGGGCATGGTCCCCCGGGGAGCCGGGCTCCGGGCTCATCGGGAGGGGAGCCGGCTGCCGGCTGTCAGCCTGTCACAGGAAACACGCTCTGCGCGGCGGAGACGGGCGGGCGGGCGGGCGTGGGAGCAGTGGGCCGGGCCTTTGCGGGAACCTGCTGGCTGGGCCTGGCTCCGTGCGCGTAATAACGTGTCCGTGTCTTCTCTCCTGGCGCTTTCTGAAAAGGAAAAAGAACTTTCATTTTGACTTTACGCTCAGGTACCACGTCTCGGGTCTGCCCGCTCTGCTCAGGCTGGTCTTCAGGGGGCTGAGCATGTCAGCAGTGGTGGTCCGGGGCCTGCCCAGCTCACCTCCTCCCCCTGCCCAGTAGGCGCCCCAGCAGGGTCTCAGGGTCATGGGGTCCCGGTGCCCCAGGAGGAGGATCTCAGCTCCAGGACCATCCTGCTGACATGCCTTAGGGCCTCGAGAAAGACCAGCGTGGTGCCCGCCGACCATCCTGTTCAGGCCGTGGCGGCTGCTCCCTGCTCGCCGGGCGCGAGGACCCAGCATGCCCGCAGCCTGGGCCCAGCTTCTCGTCTCCCCGAGTCGCTGGTCTGAGCAGCAAACCAGGGTTTTGGGGGACCTTGGCCCTCCCCCTGTGCCTGCACCCTGCCTCTGTGTTATGGGGTGACACTGGTGCCTGGGGGTGGGTGGGGCTCGGACGGCCCTGGATGGAGCCCAGGAGGGCCCGCCTGCCGGTCCCCTGCGTGCAGGCGGCGGGGGGTGGGGTCGGCAGGTCAGCCTCTGCGCGGACGGAGCACACCCTCCTGTCCACCCCGGAGGCGGTGGGCAGTGGCCTTCCAGCCCTCCTGCCCCCCAGCCCCAGCCCGAGAGCACCTGCCGGGAGGGCCGCGGTGATGCCTGCTGTGTGCACCCAGCAGCTCAGCCCTGACGACGGCCTCGCTGAGCCGGAGCTGGGGCCGCCGGGGGCAGGCGGAGGGGTCTCCGTGGCAGCCCGTGTCACCCCGCCCGCCGCCGTGTCGGGGCTGATGTCTGCATGGCCAGGGCGTGGCTTGGCTTGGAGAGTCTGCGGCAGCATCCGTGTTGTGGGTCCCCAGCACCTGCTCCAGGGCCGCTTGGGGAGGGTTGGAGGACCGGCTTGCCGGGCACTGGCCGGAGCCCGAGGCCCCCGGCCCCCGCTTTGCTGTCCGACGTGGAGCAGCGGGGCTGTTTCTCTCACCCGTGGGCCTTCAGACCAGCGACGGGCAGGCCTGGTCCTTTCGACGGACGGCCCGCTCTCGCCTCCTTAATCCAGCGTGTCCGGGTGCTGTGTGGGTGGCCTGGTGGCTGGGGCGGAGGCCCTATGCCTGGTGACACCCCACAAGCCATGTGGGCACAATGGCCAACCCTGTGCCTGCCCTCAGGCTCCCGGGTCAGGGGAAGGACACAGAGGATCAGCTGGGACAGTGGCCAGAGCTGGGCCTCGGCCAGAGGGGCGCCACCCGCAGGAGGAGGCAGGAGGCACACCGTCCCGAGGCCGGGGAGACCTTACCTGTGACCTTCCCAGAGGCCACGTCTGGGCCTCAGCCTGGCTCCCGAGAGGCCTCGGCCAGCCCGGTGACCAGGCAGCTGCTGCCAGAGGCTCCGCGCTGGCTCCGGGCCGGGGGGACGGGAGGGGGTGGGTCTGCAGCTCCCGGAGCCTGTGCAGAGCCCGGCCCACACGAAGCCACGGCTGACCACGTGCCGCGGCTCAGGCTGCAGCTCAGCTGAGAGTGTGGTCTGGCCGAGGGCTGCTCTTGGGCGTCCTTGTGCTGAGACGTGGTGTGGGCCCCTCGCCAGGCCAGGCCTGGGCACAGCCCCGCCCGCTGCCCTCTGGTTGGCATACCTTTCCCCGCTCATCCGGGAGGAAACCTCTGCCCACTGCCACGGAGGCCCAGGTGTCCCTTGGGCTGGCCCTGGCCAGTGTGGTGCAGTGGATAGTGTCGGTCTGCCGACTGAAGGGCCCCGGGGTGGATTCCAGTCAAGGGCACAAACCTCCGTTGCAGCCTCTGAACAGCGGCTTTTCCTCCTTGCAGCCCCGACGAGGAGTCCTCCCAGAAGTTCATTCCCTTCGTGGGGGTGAGTAGCACCGTGGGCGGTGGCCCTGCCGAGTGTTCGTGGGTTCTGCTGGCTGTGCTGGGGCACTAACCTGCCAGCGGTCAGATTGTAGCGTCTGGTTTTGCATTAAGTGGATTTTTCCAGAACCTTCTCGCCAGCCTGAGCCTTCAGATCCCTCCCGTCTCAAAACTCATGACCTACATCCGGTGGGTGGAGAGGTGGGACCGTCCTGTGCGGAGCGTCCGGCTCGGCCTGTGGCCTGTGAGCGGAGCCCCCCTTCCCTTTTCTCCCCCCCTCGCTCCGCCCTCCGCCGGGAGGAGGGGTGGCTCCCGGCAGCCAGCTGCCCCTCTGCTGCCCTGGGCGACAGGCCCCCCTCGGGGCATCCGTCCAGGGCACACGCGGGGCCTGCCGCTGTCGGCCCGGCCACGAGCCTCTGCCCGCGGGGCCTGTCACTGTGGCCGCTGTGAGCAGCCCGCACGTCCGCTCCGGCGTGGGCGCCCGTTGGCCCCGCGGGTCTGGAGCAGCGCCTCCTCGCCGTGCCCGGGGTGGCCCTGGGCTCTGCCCGCGGTGGGCTCCCTCGCCGCCCTGACCTCGCTGCGTGCCTGCCGCTCCCCGGCTCCTGGTGGCTGAGGGCAGGCGATGCGCGCCAGAGGCCCCCAGAGGCCAGTGCGTCCTGAGCTCTGGCCGCAGCTTGTGGCCACCAGGGCCCTGCAGCTGTGCCCCCCCCCCCCCCCGGAGTGCAGGGTGCCCGCTGCATGCTGCCCCGGCCTCCCAGCACCTCCGTGAGGGAGGCCCCCGGCTGCACCCTGCCACTGCCAACAGCCGGGCCGTCTGCCTGCGCTGGGCTCTGCCCCCAGGCGGGAGGAGCTGGGACCACGCTCTGCCGCGTGGCTCCCGTGGGGCGCGGGGCCGGCCCTCCTCCCCACGCTGCTGCCAGCAGGCCTGTTGCTTTCCAGGTGGTGAAGGTGGGAATCGTGGAGCCCTCCTCAGCCACGTCAGGTACTCCCCACCAGCCTCGAGGCCCAAGGGCACAGCCCCGTCTGGGGAGGGGGGGACCCCTCGTGGTCCCTGCACTGCCGACGCGCACCTGGGGGAACCCCTGCCTGACACGCCAGGGAGGCCTGGCCGCGCCCGGCACGTCCCCTACCTCCATGCACCCCCAGCCCACGGGGCCGCCCAGCCCCCCACCACGTCCCGGGACCCCACTGGCCGCTCCGGGCTCAGCACTGTCCCCCAACTCCTCCCCAAAGGAGACTCGGATGACGCGGCCCCCACAGGCTCCAGTGTGCTCTCGTCCACCCCGCCGTCCACATCTCCCGCTGCCAAGGAGGCCTCACCCACACCCCCCTCCTCCCCGTCTGTGAGTGGGGGCCTGTCCTCCCCCAGGTAAAGGCGGCCACCCCCCGCCCCCATCCCCGGACGTGCTGTCCGCTGGCTCCTGTCCACGCCCCTCCCTCCGACACCGGCAGCTCGGGCCGGAGACCGCTGGAGCTGCCGTCCCTGCTGCCTGGTGCGGGGACGGAGGGGCTGGTGGGCGGGGCTGGCGTGGACAAGGATGCCTGGTTGTGGGGGTGGGCACAGGGCCGGGCTCGCTCAACAGACAGACAGCTTCATCGGGGACAGAACCACGCAGAGTGGCTGGGGCGGAGGCCCTGGTCCTAAGTGCGGGACGGCGTTCTGGGGACCAGGACAGGGGAGAGGGTGTCGGTGGGGGTTCGCAGCCCCTCTCGGGTCTCTTGTGAGCAGAACTCACGCTGGCAACACTTGGGCGGGCCCTGAGGTCCCGGCTGTCCCGGCTCCCAGGCCACAGCTGTGAGGAGGCTGTGGGCCCTGCATTCCGACGGCCAGGCCACAGGAGCCGCCACACTCCCTGCCCGCGTCAGCCACGGGCGCCCGGTCCCACCGCAGCCGGACGGTGAGCCCCCCTCTGCTTCTCCAGCCAGGGCGCCGAGCTGATGGGGCTGCAGGTGGATTACTGGACGGCAGCCCAGCCCGCAGACAGGAAGAGAGACGCCGAGAAGAAGGACCTGCCTTCTGCCAAAAGCACGCTCAAGTGCACCTTCCGGTCTCTCCAGGTCAGCAGGCTGCCCAGCAGCGGCGAGGCCGCAGCCACGCCCACCATGTCCATGACCGTGGTCACCAAGGAGAAGAACAAGAAGGGTGAGTGGGGGCTGTCATAGGGGCAGGCACCCATAGGCCCTTCCACGTGCCACCAGGCGGGGTGTCCCTGTGGGCAGGGGTCCCGGGCCCCCCCGGGCCCGAGGAGGCAGCAGGCCAGCACGCCCCTCTCCTCCTAGTGATGTTTCTGCCCAAGAAGACCAAGGACAAGGACGTGGAATCCAAAAGCCAGTGCATCGAGGGCATCAGCCGGCTCATCTGCACAGCCAAGCACCAGCAGAACATGCTGCGGGGTGAGCAAGGCCTCCTTCCCGCCCTGACCCCTGACCCGACCCCGGCCCCGGCCCCAGTGCTGTCTGGAGCAGGAAGGCAGCCGTACGCCGCTGGCAGCTTTCTAAGCCAGCTCAGCCGTGCCTTCGTTTGGCTGTGAAGGCCTGCTGCTCCAGCCGGGCCTCGGTCTCGCTTCTCTGAGGCAGTGAGTGTGTGACAGCTTTTCCTCTCTGAGCAGTGAGTTGGTGACCCCTCTGCTCCGCGGAGCAGGCGTTTCTGAGCCTCTGGCTTCTCTGCGTGAGGCAGAAGGGGCTGGGGGGCGGGGGTCCTCTGTCCGAGGGCTCGGCTCGTGCTGGCGACCCTGGGGGTTGAGAACTCTGCCTTGCTGCCCTGACTGGTTTCTTGGAGGGTGTTTCCCGTCTGCAGACCCTGCGGGGGCAGCGGGTGTGCGGACCAGCGGCCCCCACGCCAGGGAGAGGGCCCCGGGTAGCTCGGAGGGCAGGCGGCAGAAAGGCCTGGCCAGCAGGTCGTCGGGCCCCTCGATGTCCCGGGCCCCGGCCGGAGGGTGGGCGTGCCGTGGTCCCGAGCAGGCGAGTCAGGCGGTCTTGTCCCCGCAGTCCTCATCGACGGCGTGGAATGGAACGACGTGAAGTTCTTCCAGCTGGCGGCCCAGTGGTCCTCCCACGTCAAGCACTTCCCCATCTGCATCTTCGGACACTCCAAGTCCCCCTTCTAGCCCCGCCTCGCCCGCGGCCTGGCCCGGGGCCGCTGCTTCTAACATTTCAGTTTACGACACGGACCTGGAGACACAACAGAAACCGTCTTACGTGCGACTGTGCTACAACCTGGGAACTAACGGGGCGGCCCCGGGAGCCCCGCCACTCTGCTTATTAACCAGCCGCCCGGCGGGCGGGCCCCGCGGAGCTGGAGACTCCAGGAAGGCGTGTTTCGGCCTCAGGACCCCTAACACTCCGCGAGAAGGGTTCTCGCCTTCTCCACCTGCCCTTCCTGGGGCCAGGACCCCGCTTCCCCGGGAGCCGGCTCGGCCTGCACCCAGGACTCCGCCTCCTAGCCCCACAGCCTCGGCGCCGGGCGGCCAGGGGCTGGCCCCCGCTGGGCATCCTGAGCAAAACCTGGAGCAGCCAGTGGCCCGGGCAGCTGCCAACCAGCCGTGTCCCGCGCTGCCTGCCATGGTTCCCAGTGACTCCATCCCCCAAGGAGCTGGGTTACAGCAGCAGCTATTTTTAATGCTTTTAAATACACGTTACAATGTGGCTGCCAAATGTTCATCCTCTTCAGTCCCACGTCCCAGCCAGCCCCCACCCCGGCCCAGCCACACCGCCTCTGGGACCCGCTCCCACCGTGGCTCTGAGACACCCTCTGCCTCCGAGTGTCCCTGCCCAGACTTGGCAGGCACGTGGCCTCCTCCTTGCCCCACCCCAGCCCCACCTGCTGGTTGGGGCAGGCTGGGGGTTGGGGCAGGCTGGGGCACAGCAGCACTGGGGTGGCCGTGGACGCTCAGGCACGGTGGCTGGGCACTGGGAGCTGTAGGGACAGCCAGAGGACCCGCAGGGGCCCGATGGCCTCTAGGCCAAGCTCCTCAGAATTTGGGTTTGGGTCCTATCCTAGTTGGCAGCCCCACCCTCCGCCTTCCCATGCAGCCAGCATCCTCCCCACTCTTGCTGCACCCCCAAAACCCCACATCCCAGGTCTCCGCAGGGGGGGCCCTGGCAGCCCCTCACCTTCTCCCCGGAGGCTGTCCAGGACCCGAGTGTTCGCGCCACAGGCTTTGGGCCGGTGGCAGATCGGACTCGGGCATGGACGTGGGTGCAGCCCAGGCCTCGGACCCTGTGGGCAGAGTGCTGGGCCGAGGGCCCTCCCAGGGAGCACCTCCTAGCTGAAACACACCTTCCACCAGGGCCAGGACCTTGCCTGAGGCAGACCTGGACTTGGGGCCTGCCTCCCCTGGGAGAACCTGGGTGATGGTGCGGGCCACGGAGCCCACAGCCCCTCGGGCAGCGCCGCCTGGGCCACACCCCTGCAGCCAGCCGGGAGGCCTGAGCCTCCCACTCCTCCCCAACACCAGCGCCGGTGCCTGGTCACCGCTCAGCAGGAAGGAAGCAGGTGGGGTGACATGCCCTTGACCTGCCTTCTAGCCTCAGAGCTGGCTTTGGGGGAGGTGGCCACGCAGGGCTGTCCTGTCCATCCTGCCCCTGTGCCTCCCTGTCCACCTCACAGCTTTGCTCTGTACCCTTGGGGGAAGGGCACCTGGCACCTCTACTCTGTGCCCCGGGTCCTGCAGAGCTGCCCCCGGGACACCATCCCTGGGCCTGGGAAGTGATGAGGCGCCTCTGCCACCGTGATCGGCTGAGACCTGGGCTGCCGCCCGTTGCCCGCTGGCGCTCAGCGATGGCTCCCCGGCCTGCCCCAGAGCTGTCCTGAGGACACTGTGTGCACCAGCCTCTGTCCCTCGCAGGCGGGGAGCCAAAACTGCTGAGCGGGGCGGGCAGTGTTGTGCCCAAGTGTCATAAACCCCAAAGACTACCAGGGAGCCGAATCCGATGCAATTGCAGAAAGCCTGTATTTATTTCGGACTAGTCAGAGCTCGCTTACACCAGCGACAGCATGGCGGGAGGGAGAAAGGATTTAACATAACAATGGGTTTTATGGGGGGGGGGGGGCCACTACCTTGGCTGACCTGATTGGTTGGGTTAGGGTTAGGGTCCAGTTACCGGGAGCCGGCCCCACCCCGCCCTGCCCTCTCAGTGGGGCAGCAGTGTGGGCACCTCCAGCGGGCCGGGCCAGTCCTGGGTGCTGTGGGCAGGCTCCGCACCCAGCCTCCTGCCTGTCGCTCAGCCCCGGGGTCAGGGCCAGGCTGCGGAGGAGGCCGCTGAGCGAGGGGGCTCCGTGCAGAGGCCATGGCTCCCCAGGGGCCGAGGCGGCCTCGCTGCACTGCAGGCGCGGACCTGACTGCCGCGTCGGTCTGGCCACACCGGGCACTCGCCCTGAAGGGCCAGCTGCGGACCCCCGTTTTCACGGCCTCCGTGGGGCGGAGGAGGGAGGCGCGGGGCCGGCCCCGGGCCGCGCGGCGGTTGAAAGGGAAGCAGGGCCCCGTAAAGCGCCTTTGGGAGCAGACGCTCTGCTTGGACCAGACCGCGGGCCGTGCGGAGGTGCCGATGGACACCAATGCACTGAGGCCCCGGGCCCGCGGGGACGGGAGGGGAGGGGAGGGCGGGGGGCTGCGGGCCCCGGGCCGGGAGGAGCCCAGCCGCGTGGCGCCGCCGGTGGGCGGGCTCCAGGGCGCAGGCGCGCGCGGCCGGAAGCGGAAGCGGCGGGTGGGGCCTGCAGCGGAAGTCGCTGGGTTGGGTCCCTTTGGGCTTCCAGAATTCCACGGGCCCCACCCCTGCGCCCCGCCCCTCCCACCCCCCAAGCCCGTGTACCCCGCCCCTCCCCCACCCCGTACCCCAGGGTACCCCTCCCTCCCCCACCCCGTACCCCAGTGTGCCCCTCCCTCACCTCCATCCACACCCGAGTGTACCCCGCCCTCCCCACCTCCGTACCCCAGTGTGCCCCGCCCCCTCTGTATCCAGTATGCCCCGCCCCTCCCCTCCTTCGCACCCCAGGGTACCCCCTCTCCTGCTGACCGCTGTCACCCCATCTGCTCTTCCCTGACCAGCACCCCCCCGTGGGCCCCTCCCAGTCCGAGTGTCCTGCCCCCCCCAGCAGATTCCTGGGCGGGGTGTGGGGTGAGGTCACACCACTGGAGGTGAGGTCACAGGGGTTCGGAGGTGGGGGGCTGCCCCCCGTCTCCCCAGCGGGGCCTGTGCCGGAGCAGAGCCAGGTGGGGCCGGGGCCTGGGGAGGCGGAGGCCGGGAGGGGGCGGCTCCTTGGGGCCATGGGGAGCCAGGGGCCGCAGGAGCTGAGGCCGGGGTTCCCGGGGGGGCCCCTGTGGGGGTCCGCGGCCTGAGGGGGGCCCTGGGGACGGGGAGCCGGGCAGAGCCTGACGGCCGGCCTGTCTGCGGGGCAGGGCCGCGGGACGGGAGCAGCGGGCGCGGACCATGAGCAGCCAGAAGCACCTGCGGGAAAGGCCCCCCGGGAAGACGCCGGGGCCCTTCCAGGAGCGCGCGCTGCCCGCGCCCCTGCCCAGCCGGCCCGGCGTGCAGGCCCAGCAGGCGCCGGAGACGCAGGACTGGGTAAGGAGGGCTCCCTGCGCCCGCCGCTCTGGGCGCTGGTCCGGCGCGCGGGCGGGCAGGGGCTGAGGGCCCTCAGCATGAGGACGGCCCCGGGGTACAGGCCGTCTTCCCACAGCCCAGGGCGGGGTGGGGCCAGCTCCCAGGGCACCCCCTGGGCTTGCAGCCCTCCTGCCTCCACAGCTGCAGGCCGTCCGCCCGCCCGCCTCTGCTGGGCCCCTGGGAGGGGCCCCTGAGACCAGGAGAGGGGCCTGCTTCACCCTCACAGCGCCCTCACGCTGGAGCCCCCTGTCCCCCCCCCAGCCTCTCAGTTCCCACACAGCAGCTGCCGCCAGAGGGGGCTCCCGGAATTCCCTGCGGGTCCCCGTGTGTGTCAGGGTCAGAGCCCGGACCAGCCGGGTGGCAAGGTGCATGACAGAGTGGGGACCCGAAGAGCTGAGTCACCAGACAAGTCGGCTCAGAGGTTGGCGTGAAAAGGTGGCAGCATGCCAAACCCGGTTTGGCTCAGTGGATAGAGCGTCGGCCTGCGGACTGAAGGGTCCCGGGTTCAATTCTGGTCAAGGGCATGTACCTTGGTTGCGGGCACATCCCCAGTGGGGGGTATGCAAAGGCAGCTGATCGATGTTTCTAACTCTATCACTCTCAATTTCTCTGTGTAAAATCAATAAAATATAATAATAATAATAATAATAATAATAAGGTGGCAGCGGCCTGGCCGGTGTGGCTCAGTGGACAGAGTGTCCGCCTGCGGACTGAAGGGTCCCGGGTTCGATTCTGGTCGAGGGCATGTACCTGAGTTTCAGGCTCCATCCCCAGCTCTGGTTGGGGTGCCTGCAGGAGGCAACCAATGGATTGTCTGTCTCCCATCTATGTTTCTCTCTCTCCCCCCCCCTTCCACTCTCTAAAAAGCAGTGGAAGAGTGTCCCTGGGGAAGGACTAAACACCCCACACAACACAAATGTGGGTAAACGAACAGGCGGCGAGAAGGCTCAGCTCCCCGGCTGCCACTGAGGTCGCTCTGTGCCTCCTGGCCGGGTCCTCCGCCTCCGGGGTGGGGGGACCCCTCGGCTGACTTCTCAGCCCAGCAAGCCAGGATGCCAGTGCGCAGGGTGCCGCCTGTGGGGGTCCTCCGAGGGCCGGGTTCCTGGGCAGGTTTGAGTTCTCAGAGGAAGGCAGGCAGGGCCGTGGGCATGGGCAGGGGGCTGAGGCCGGCAGGCGAGCAGGAGAGAAAGGCCCGGGGAGGAGGCTCCGAGGAGAGGGGTTTGGACAGACACCCAGAAGGGGGTGCAGACCCCTGTTTGCGGGCTCCCAGAATGTGGTTTGGGGGTGCAGAGTCCCCTCAATGTTTCCCACATGCTGGTCCTCTCTCCCCTCTCATCTGACCTCTGCCTCCCGCCGCTCCCAGACCCTGAGGGGCGTCCGCTGTGCCCTGAGGGATGCCCGGCCCCCCTGGCCCCCGCAGCAGGCCCGGTTCCTCCAGACCTCCCTGCGCTGGCCCTTGGCAGGCACCCCCTCCCCGGGAGCCCCACGCTGACTGACATCAGTCAACCCCACCTTTCCCTCTGTCCCTGCCCTTCCCAGCCAGGGCCCGAGGGAGCCACCCTGACCTGCAGGGTTCCCCCCTGGGTGCCCGGTGCCCAGCGTGAGGACATTTCTCTCTCCCTTATCCTCTCCCTGTCTGAAATCAATAAAAAGTTATTTTAAAAAAATAATTCCTATCACCTCACACCTGTCAGAATAGCTATCTATCATCAGCAACTAGCAAGTGCTGGTGAGGATGTGGAGGAAAGGAACCTTTCTGCACTGCTGTGGGAATGCAGACTGGTGCAGCCGCTGTGGAGAATGGTGTGGAGTTTCCTCAGAAATTAAAAATGGAGGAAATTTGACCCAGTGATCCCACTTCTAGAACTATATCCCAAGGAAACAGAAACACAAAGGATATATGCACCCCTATGTTCATAGCAGAATTTACAATAGCTAAGATTTGGAAACATGCCGGGACCGATTTGGCTCAATGGATAGAGCGTCGGCTTGGGGACTGAAAGGTCCCGGGTTCGATTTTGGTCAAGGGCATGTACCTTGGTTGCGGGCATATCCCCAGTAGGGGGTGTGCAAGAGGCAGCTGATCGATGACTCTTTCATCGATGTTTCTGACTCTCTATCTCTCTCCCTTCCTCTCTGTACAAAATCAATAAAATATATTAAAAAAAAAAAAAGATTTGGAAACAGCCCAACTGCCCATCAGCAGATGAATGGATTAAAAAACGGTGGTATGGGGGAGAGAACCAAGATGGCGGCATAGGTAAACACCTATACTTGCTGTCTCACAACCACATCAATATTACAGCTAAAAGGCAGCACAATCCCCACCCAGAGCTGCAGGAGAGCTGGCTGAGTGGGAGTTCCACAACCAGAGGTGAAGAAAGCATAGTGAGATGTAAGAGGACGAGGCACAGAGAGTGCTGGCACCTGGATGTGCCTCCTTTTAATCGGGAGGGAGTTACAAGTTCCTGCTGTGAACTCCAGTTCCAGGCAAGACTCTGAGGGACCCAGACACATACAGGGAGAAACTGGACTGTCTGACATTGGGACAGGAATGCGAGGGCAGCTTTCTCTCAGAGGTGCTCCCAGCGATCATTGTTCCTGCACAGGGGCATGGGGTGCAGAGACCCAGGCACCTCTCTGGTGCAGGACTGACTGGCAGCCTTTGCTGTTTGCTCTGCCCTGGTGATTTCCAGAGACCCCACCCCACCCAATTTACAACCCCACCCAACTGTGCGCATCAGCTTTTGCATATGAATGGCCTGTCCTTGCTCAGCCTAAAACTTGTCAAACTTGCAGCTGGGTCAGAGAGCCCCAGAGCTTCCAAATGAAGGCCCAAGGCCCAGTGGCAGCAGCCTGCCTTGCTTCACAGCTGGGCCTCGTCTGTGACTTTCAAGCCCATACAAAGAGGAGGAATCTGCAGATCTCTCTGTAGCTCCTGCTGGGTGGTCCCAGAAAATACTGACTTTGCACCTCCTTGGAGATTCAAGAGCCAGTGTGCCCAGTGGTAAGAGTGAGACCATGCCTGACTACAACCTTCACATCCATAAGAGACACATTTAGGGAGAAGATTCAGTAGCACCAAAGCCCCACTGAAGCAAGTCCTACCTCATAAGGTGTCTCCTGGGCAGCAGTTCTTCCACTGTAGACACAGCTAGTCCGCACAGCCAATTGACCTGGATGGCAATTCCTCCCAGTGATACCAACAGCAACCACGGCTTAACTACAAGATTGTGCACACAGCCCACACAGGGGTGCACCACGAGTGTCCACCTCAGGTGATTGGGGAGGCTGAGCCACTAAGCTCTATAGGACACCTACCACACAAGGCCATTCTGTTAACACAGGGAAGCTGTCAAAATTTGGAGACAATGAAACATCACAAATGACAGAAATGGAGGACAGCAAACTACTGGATATAGAGTTTAAAACCATGGTTATAAGATTACTCAAGAATCTTCTAGAAACCTCTGAGAAATTTGGTGAGACCCTCAAGGATATGAAAAAGGACCAATCAGAAATTAAGCATACACTGACTAAAATAAATAATAATATACAGAGATCCAACGGCAGACTAGAGGATCCCAAGAATCAAGTCAAAGATTTGAAATACGAAGAATCAAAAAACACCCAACCAGAAAAGAAAAAAGAATCCAAAAATATGAAAATAGTGTAAGGAGCCTCTGGGACAACTTCAAGCATACCAACATCCAAATTTTGGGGGTGCCAAAAGAAGAGAGAGCAAGATGCTGAAAACCTATTTGAAGAAATAATGTCAGCCAAGACTGGTTTGGCTCAATGGATAGAGCGTCGGCTTGGGGACTGAAGGGTCCCAGGTTCGATTCCAGTCAAGGGCATGTATTATACCTTGGTTGCGGGCATATCCCCAGTGGGGGGTGTGCAAGAGGCAGCTGATCGATGACTCTCATCGATGTTTCTAACTCTCTATCTCTCTCCCTTCCTCTCTGTATAAAATCAATAAAATATATTAAAAAAAAAAGAAAAAAAGAAATAATGTCAGAAAACTTCCCTCACCTGGTGAAAGAAATAGACTTACAAGTCCAGGAAGTGCAGAGAACCCCAAACAAAAGGCATCCAAAGAGGACCACACCAAGACATATCATCATTAAAATGCCAAGAGCAAAAGACAAAGAGAGAATATTAAAGCAGCAAGAGAAAAACAGTTAGTTACCTACAAGGGAGGGCCCATACAATTGTCAGCTGATTTCTCAACAGAAAATATGCAGGCCAGAAGGGAGTGGCAAGAAATATTCAAAGTGATGAATAGCAAGAACCTATAACCAAGATTACTCTACCCAGCAAAGCTATCATTCAGAATTGAAGGCCAGATAAAGAGCTTCACAGATAAGAAAAAGCTAAAGGAGTTCATCACCACCAAACCAGTATTATATGAAATGGTGAAAGGTATTATTTAAGAAGAGAAAGAAGAAGAAAAAGGTAAAGATAAAAATTATGAACAACAAATACATATTTATCAACAAGTGAATCTAAAAATCAAGTGAATAGAAAACCTGATGAACAGAATAAACTGGTGAATATAATAGAATTAGGGTCATAGAAAGGGAGTGGACTGACAATTTGGGAGAAATGTGCTGTGGGGGTGCAGGAAGAGATTGGACAAGGAGCTTACACCTATGAATGAGGTCAGTAGGGATGGGCAGGGCGGGGGAAGGCCTGGAGTAGGGTGGGAACCAGGTGGAGGGGAGCTACGGGGGAGGGGAGGAGGGAGAGGAACAACTGTAATAAAACTAAACAAAGATTTAAAAAAACATCTGTGGTACATCTACTCAATGGAATACCACGCTGCTGTAAAAAATAAAGAACTTTTACATTTGCAACAGCATGTACGGACCTGGAGAGCATTATGCTGAGTGAAATGAGTCAGTTGGAGAAAGATATATATCACAAGATCTCACTCACTTGTGGAATATAATGAACAACAGAAACTGATGAACAAAAATAGACACAGAGACGAAGAAGCACCAAACAGACCATCAAAGCTCAGACGGAAAGCAGGGAGGGAGCTGGGTGATCAGCCAGAGGACTTGTAGGCATGCGTCTGAGCACAGCCTGGGACACAGCCAGGAGGGGGTGAGGGCATGTGCTGGGGGTGAGATGCCGGGGGAGAGGTCAATGGGGGTGGAAGAAACATAGGTAATACTTTCAACAATAACGTATGTTCTAAAAATCCTTTTTAAAAAAAGAAAATCAAGACATTGACCAAAACAGTTTGGGGCGGAGACTTTTCCGTAACCCAGTGGTCGGGAAACGCATCAGTCCACAGAGCCAAATATCAACAGCACAACGATTGAAATTTCTTTTGAGAGCTAAACTTTTTAAACTTCTTCCAAGGCCACTTCTTCAACATAGACTCGCCCAGGCCGTGGTATTTTGTGGAAGAGCCACACTCAAGGGGCCAAAGAGCCACATGTGGCTCTTGAGCCACAGTTTGCCCGAGAGGACTAGAAGAAACTCTGGAATCGGGCGGCCCTTCTAGCCGAGTGCCAGCCGCCAGTGTCCACCTGTGCCACGTGCCCTCCACCCTGTCCCGGCTGCACGTGGACGGGCCTTGGGGACGTCAGGCTGAGTGCAGTGAGCACACAGGACAGGCGCTGTGGGAGCCACGTGCCTGTGGTCTCTGGAAGCGTGAGCTCAGGTGAGAGATGGTGGCAGCCGGCGGCCGGTGGGGAGGGGGAGCTGGGCTGGGTGTTTGTGATTTGTTAATCCTCACTGAGGACTTTATAGAGGGAGGGAGGGGCTCCGTGTGTAGCTCCCCTATTTGTGCATCTTTGGTTGCTTCCTGTATGTGCCCTGGCCAGAGATCGAACCCGAAACCTATGCATATTGGACGGTGCTCTGACCACTCAGCCACCTCCAGGGCCCAAGGAGTTCTGTGTAGCTGCAGAGCTCCCCGGAGTGAAGGGTGGGGCGCTCCGGGCAGTTAGGAGTCATACCTGAGGATGGGAGAGCAAAGATGCAGGAGGGCAGCGCGGGCCCAGCTCACCCGGCACAGACCACCCTGAGGAGGCCATCACCTGCCCCAGACACTGACCGTCCCTCAGTCCCCTGGCTCTCCCGAAGCAGGGCTCTGTCAGCCCAGCTCGTCCCCGGGGCGGGGGGGGGGGGGGGGGGGGGCAGCACAGACGTGCTCAGAGGACCTGCTGCACAAATGAAGGTGCGTGTGACACAGGGAGCTGTGTCCCAGGAGGAGTCTGGGAATTTATAAAAGGCTCAGACCCACAGGAGGAGGAAGGCCACTCGATCGGCCTCAATGGAGGAGGAAAAAGAGCCTTAGTAAATCCAGTGAATTTCCTTAAAACAGAACAAAGCTGAAAGCCTGGTGTCTTCCTAAACGTTCGTTAACCTATTGTTGACGACAGTGTCCCCGTTTCCCTCTGCCCTCCTCCCCTTCGTCATCATCGTCCCCCCCTTGGCGCTTAACGGTTAACGGTTCTGAGGGCTCCTCACTGGAGCGTCCTCGCAGACGCAGACTGGGGCGCAGGCAGGGATGCGGGCGTCGCCATGACGATGGGAGAGCCTGTGGGCACCGGGAAGGGAAGGGAGCGATGACGCTGAGGAGGGGAGGCACGCCTCAGTCAGCGTTTGCGCTAAGACATCGTCTCTGTAGAGAACCCCGGGGCCGGTACCACAACCACCTGGGGGAGGGGAAGGGGAAGGGTGAGTGATTGCTGTGCGGGCTGCGTTGTTCCCACACGGCGAAGGCACGGGGCAGGAGTGCGGGCGGGGGGGGGGGGGGGTGTCCCCGCTGTGGTGCGACTCCCCCTCAGGGTGACAGCAGCAGGCCATGCCCTGGGGATTAATGTTTGAAACTCGTCAGATCGCCCATAGCTAATCCAGTGCAGGTCCATTCTCATTGTACGTATTTGCATTTAAGTAAACTTTTACTGGTTTCAGAGAGGGAGGGGGGGAGAGAGAAACATCAATGCTGAGAGAGAATCATGGACTAGCTGCCTCCTACATGCCCCACTGGGGACTGAGCCCACAACCCGTATGTGCCCTTGACTGGAATCGAACCCGGATCCTTTAGTCTGCAGTCTGGTGCTCTATCCACTGAGCCACCGGGGCCAGGGCTGGGCTCGCCTTCCTTTTTTTCTTTTCTTTATTTTTATTGATTATGGTATCACATAATTGTCCTCATCCTCCCATTCCCATCCCAAACCCCTCCCCACATATGCCCCCACCCCCCTGTTGTCCATGGCCACAGGCTAGGCCCATATGCATGCACACAAGTCCTTTGGTTGATCTCTTCCCCTTACCCCCACCCTCCCCTACTTTCCCTCTGAGGTTTGAGAGTTTGATCGATGCTTCTCTGTCTCTGGGTCTGTTTTTGTTCATCAGTTTATGTTGTTCATTATTTCCTCTAGATGTGTGAGATGAGAGATCATGTGATCCAAGAAATACCCTTGAAAGAACCTAAACTGCGACAAGCCATAAAGGTTATGCTGAGAGGCAAATGAATCAGTCTGTAGTGAGTTCCTTTCTGGGCCAACAGTTCTCCTGAGTCCCAATTTCAATGTCAAACAGTTCCTTACGTGTACATGTCAGCCATGATAGTTCAGATCTGGTTGGTGGACAAATGGTGGTGATGCAGGTCTAACCATCTCTGGTTTGGTCTGGAGGCCACAGCAGTTGGTTGGCTGCTCTCAGGCCCCGTGTGCTGGGGCCCAGGGCAGCCTCCGCACCAGCCCGAATGAAGGCTGGCCTCCGGGGGAGGCTCCTGCCTGGGCCCCTCACAGCCCAGCCGCAGCCTGGGAGCCCGCCTCCCGCCGGGAGGGCACAGGGGAGTGTGGGCACAGGGACCTCTGCTCCGTCCTCAGGTGAGCCAACCCCCAGAGAGCAGGCACCCCACCCGCCACTGGAGCCTCAGCATCGAGGAGCGCCGGCAGCGGGTCCTGCAGGACGCCTCGCAGAGCCGGCCCGGCTCCCACGGCGGCCAGGTGCGGGCGGGAGGGGAGCGTGGCCACGGACGCCCGACCCCCGACCCGCCCGACCCGCGCCCCGACCCCGCGCCCCGACCCGCGCCCCGACCCCGCGCCCCGACCCGCCCGACCCGCCCTGACCCGCGCCCCGACCCGCGCCCCGACCCGCGCCCGACCCGCGCCCCGACCCGCGCCCGACCCGCGCCCCGACCCGCGCCCCGACCCGCGCCTGACCCCGCGCCCGACCCGCGCCCCGACCCGCGCCCCGTCCCGCGCCCTGACCCCGCGCCCTGACCCCGCGCCCCTGACCCCGCGCCCCGACCCGCGCCCCGTCCCGCGCCCCGTCCCGCGCGCGCCCCGACCCGCGCCCCGACCCGCGCCCGGACCCGCGCCCCGACCCCGCGCCCCGACCCCGCGCCCCGACCCGCGCCCTGACCCTGCGCCCTGTCCCTGCGCCCTGTCCCTGCGCCCCGACCCGCGCCCCGACCCGCGCCCCGACCCCGCGCCCCGACCCCGCGCCCCGACCCGCGCCCTGACCCTGCGCCCTGTCCCTGCGCCCTGTCCCTGCGCCCGACCCCGCGCCCGACCCGCGCCCCGACCCCGCGCCCCGACCCGCGCCCCGACCCGCGCCCCGACCCCGCGCCCCGACCCGCGCCCCGACCCCGCGCCCCGACCCGCGCCCCGTCCCGCGCCCCGACCCGCGCCCTGACCCCGCGCCCTGTCCCTGCGCCCTGTCCCTGCGCCCGACCCGCGCCCCGACCCGCGCCCCGACCCCGCGCCCCGACCCCGCGCCCCGACCCGCGCCCTGACCCTGCGCCCTGTCCCTGCGCCCTGTCCCTGCGCCCGACCCCGCGCCCGACCCGCGCCCCGACCCCGCGCCCCGACCCGCGCCCCGACCCGCGCCCCGACCCCGCGCCCCGACCCGCGCCCCGACCCCGCGCCCCGACCCGCGCCCCGTCCCGCGCCCCGACCCCGCGCCCTGACCCCGCGCCCTGTCCCTGCGCCCTGTCCCTGCGCCCGACCCGCGCCCTGACCCGCGCCCCGACCCTGCGCCCCCAGGAAATCCTGCAGATGGTGAGACAGCTGGTGTCTGAGGACGTGGACAAGGACGTGCTCATTGTCCAACCGCGGTCGTCCGAGTCCGCCTTCGCCTTCCACGCCTTCCTGACCCGCAGCTCGCCCTTTTGGCACAACATGACCTCGACCTGGGCCTCCGGGTGCCCGCCCTCCTGAGCCACCAGGCCTTTCGGGGCCTCCACACCCCAGGGCCCGGGCCAGCCTCCGCCCCCTCCGCCTGCGCACTGCCGGGCTCGCTGGTTCTCTGGTTCCGACATTAAATGTGTTCCAGACTGCCTTCCTCAGCCTGGGGGGGCCGCGGGGATGGGGGGAGGGAGGTGTCCTGAGGGGGGACGAGGGGCAGAGGTTTGGCCGGGCTTTGGAGACCCCGATGGTGAAGGGGGTGGGGTGAGGGCCAGGATGATGCCCTGAGCCCGCATCCACGCCAGCGGTCTGAGCGATGGCAGCACTGTCTCGTTTCTGAGTGCTCTCAGGCTCCTGGGGGTCCCAGGAGACCTGGCTCACACCGCCCCCGCCCTCCACGAGGTCTCAGCCTCTGCAGGAGGCCTCCGGGAGCAGGCAAAGCCGTGGGGTTCAGGGTGGGGCCGCAGCTTCTGGGGAAGGGGTGCCACCTCCGCGGGCAGCCAGCTTCCGCGTCCACTCCCTGCGGCTCCCAGATCCACGCAGGCCCCCAGGCGGGCCGGCAGTGTGGGCAGGGCTGCTTCCTCCCCGGAGGTGCAGGGCACCGTGCACTCCGGCTCCCAGCCTCTGGAGCTGCCGCAGCCCTGGGCTCGGGCCTTCCGCCACCTCCCAGTTCCATCTTCCATCTCCAGGCCAGCTGCGTGCCGTCCACCCCCTTCCGCTCGCTCCTCTCCTGCCTCCTCTGCCCTCCGGACCCTGGCTCACCTGGCTGCGGGGCTCCGGGGAGCAGCCTCCACCCTCTTGCCCTGAGAGCCAGCAGTTCCGGCCTGGGGGAGTGGTGGGCATCTGGGGGGACTGTCTCCCACAGGCTCCAGCTCCCCGGGGGGGGCTGCTACCACCCCACAGGGCGCCCACAGCCAAGAGTGACCAGACCCCGATGCCCACCGTGCCCAGGGGAGCCCCGAGGGCTCCGTGGCAGACGGGCGGACAGCATCAGCCTGGTGAGGACATCACCGTCACCGATGACGCAGACGCTGCCTCGGGACCTGCACTTGGCCCTCCACACCGCCAGGGGCCTGCTGTTCCCACTGGTGGCCTCCCCTCGGAGCAAGGCACTCCGGACACCCCCGGGAGGGAGGACACCCCCGGGAGGGAGGACACCCCCGGGAGGGAGGACACCCCCGGGAGGGAGGACACCCCTGGGAGGGAGGACACCCCCGGGAGGGAGGACACCCCCGGGCCAGGAGGACGGCCTCTCTGACAGCCCCTGGTGCTCTGGCACCGTCTGTGTCGTGAGTCAGGCCTGTGTGGAGAAGGGTCGGAGGCCACTGGGACACCAAGCAGCAAGGGGAGCCCCTTGGCCCGGGCCCAGCCACCAGCCACTGCCCCTGAAAATGACCCCTTCAGCTTTGTGAGAACACTCGCTGTTCAACGGTCACAACAGGGTCTTTTTAAGGTGCCTTTTTACTGATGTCAGGGAAGGAGAGAGAGAAGCATCCCTGATGAGAGAGGACCATGGCTCGGCTGCCTCCCGCACGCCCCCCATTGGGGATCGAGCCCACCACCAGGGCCTGTGCCCCAACCAGGAATCAAACCCTGACCCCCCGGTTCAACCCCTGAGCCAGGCCGGCCAGGCGACAGGAACGCTCATAAGACGCTGCCCACGATTCTGTCACCAAGATGGCCGCGGCTGGGGAGGGAAGCCCTCGCTCGCTGTTCCTAGAGGCCGGGCAGGGGGTGGGCTCACGGAGATGCTGCTGCCAATGGCAGTTAGTTCCCAGGGGCAGGACTGCGGGAACGAGGCGCATGCTGCTGCGCCCCAAGTTTTAAAGGTCCTCCGAGACTGTGTGTGGAAATCTCAAAACCAGGAAGGGACAGGAAGCACACGTGACCCCAGTTTGAGCAGCGAGGAGCTGGGCACCCTGCCCCGGGGGCCCCCAGCCTGAGCCCCCCGGGTCCCTGCACCCTGGAGGCTCCCTGCCAGCTCACAGCCCCTCTGCCCGGCGGTGCTGCAGCCTCAGAGGCTGGATTTGAGGTCGGCATATATAAATATATTTACCATTTTTTATTGTTCAAAGTTACCGTCTCTTTTCTCCCGACCGACCAGCCCCGCCTCTCCCACTCCCACCCACGCGTGTGTGTCCGCTGGTCATGCTGATGACTGAGGTTTTAAGGGCCTCCCTGGGGGGGTGCAGGTGGAAGTGTTCTCTGGAGGCCTGTTGGCTCCCGGGCTGCTCAGGCTCCGAGGGGGGCCGTACCTGTAGGGGAGCTGCCCTGGGAGCCCTGGGTCTGCCTGGGAGCCTCTCCTCAGGCCTCCCTCCATCCGCACCCTCTGCACCGGCCCGTCCTGAGCCACGGCCAGCCGGCCTCGGCCTCCAGGGGCAAGGCCGAGTCCGGGCCTGGGGTCCCGGCTGTGGGCCTGGTCCCCTCGCCCCCAGAGACAGGCCCCGAGGCCTCCTCCACCTCCTGAGCTGCAGGCAGCGCCTGGACCACTGTGCCAGGGGCCCTGGGTCCCCCACCGCCCACTCCCCCCGGGCAGGCTCCTGCTGCCCGTGCCCGCTGCGAGGTGGTCAGTCCCTCACGCCACCGCCTCCCCGTTGCCGAATGCGAGGTGGTCCAGCCCTCCCGCACGCCTCCCCGTGCCCGCTGCGAGGTGGTCCCAGCCCTCACGCCCGCCTCCCCGTGCCCGCTGCGAGGTGGTCCAGCCCCTCCGCCCGCCTCCCCGTGCCAGCTGCGAGGTGGTCCAGCCTCACCTCACGCCCGCCTCCCCGTGCCCGCTGCGAGGTGGTCCAGCCCTCACGCCCGCCTCCCCGTGCCCGCTGCGAGGTGGTCCAGCCCTCACGCCCGCCTCCCCGTGCCCGCTGCGAGGTGGTCCAGCCCTCACGCCCGCCTCCCGCCTGCTCCGTTGACCCGCGGCTGTGGCCGGGCCTTCAGGATCATCCCGGACCGGACCGGACCAGACCGAGCCTGCCCTGCACGGCTCTGGGCCGTGGAGCCGGCCGGGAGGAGTGACCAGGCGGAGGGGGCCTGCGCTGTCCCCTGGGGCTGCCAGCATCGCTGCTGCTCTGTGGGGCCACCTCCTCCCTCCTGGGGGCTGGGCCTCGGGGGGGGGGGGCTTCCCACAGACACTGGACCCCCCGCCCTGGACGGAGGGGAGCCAGGCTCCCTCCCCGGCCGGGGATGCGGGGCCCACAGTCCCTGTGGTCAGGGTGCAGGTGTTGGGAGAAGACACAGGCCCCGCAGGGGCACAGAGGGGAGTCTCCCCCTCCCCCCACATACCCCCGAGCTCCCCCCTGAGCCCCACCCATCAGCTCTGACACCCCTCGGATGACCCCCGCCCTCCGGGGACACCCCCTCCCCCGGGGCCTCCGGGGATCTGTGCTGGGGCCACCCTGGCTGGCGCCCTGCACTCAGCTGGGGACCCCCAGCTCCTCCGTGTTCCTCACCCTGGACCCGGCCCTCCCGCCCCCACAGTGCGGGGCGCCCCCTCCACGTCCGGCTGCCCCCAGCCCGGAGCCCCAGCCTCCGAACCCGGCCGGGGGCCTGAGCCCAGGGCGGGGGGAGACGGGGCTGGGGTCCTGGCGGGGGAGGGGCGGCGGGCGCGGGCGGAGGCGGCGGGGAGGCCCCGCCCCCGCGGCGCCCCGCCTCTTCCTCTCCCGCCCGCGGCCTCGGTCCCTGGCGGCCTCCGCGGCGGCGGCGGCGGCAGCGGCCCCTTTAACCCGCCCGCCCGCGCCCCGCGCCCCCGCCCGCCGCCCGCCGCCTCCATCTTCCCGGCCGCCGTCCCGCCCCGGCCGCTCGGCCGCTCCGGCGGACATGGCGGCCAACATGTACCGGGTCGGAGGTAAGCGCCCGCCGCCGCCCCGGCCGGGCCCACCTGTTGGGGCCTGGCGGCCGCGGGGCCGCATCCCGGGGGCCGGGCCCGAGCCGAGCGCCGAGCACGTGGCCGCCCGGGGCCAGTGGGCCCCGCGGCCCGCGATGGGCCGCCGGGCCTGCCCCCCGGGCCGCCGCCGCCCCGCGTCCCCGCAGGCCCCGGGGCCCCGCCGCCGCGGCCCCAACTCCCCCGCCGCCCGCCCCCGCCGCCCGGAGCCCCGGGCCGGGGCCGCTCCCCGCTGCGGCCCGACCCGCCGGTCCCCGCCGCGCCCCGGGCCTCGGGGAGGGGTGCCCGGGGCCCCGCGCGCCCTCGGCGCCCACGCTGGCGGGTGTCCCCCGGCCGCCCACCCTGGGTGTGGGGTCCGCTCCCCGCCGGCCGGGCCCGGGCAGGGGGTGGACGGGGCGCCTCCACCCGCCTCTGGCTGAGGGGGCGCCGGGATGGGGCCTGCACCCTCTTAGGAGCAGGCCTGTTCCCCCACTTTGGGGGGAAGCAGGAGAGTCATCCCCAAGGGTGCCCCTCACCGCACCCCAGGGAACCCCTCACAGCTCCGGGGCTCCCCGTCCTGCTGCCCCCCTCCATGTCACCCCTCTCCATGCCGCCCCCCCCATGCCTCCCTGTGCACCTCCCTGGGCTCCCTCCGGCCTGGCCTGAGGCCCCGTGGCTCCTGCTGACGTGACAAGGCCCTGAGCCCCAGCCCACACCCACAGCCCACCTGCCACCCCTGGGGTCTCCAGCCAGAACCCCTTCTTGCAGTGCCCCCTTCCCCCCAGCCTGGCGCTGGTGCTGAGTGAATGAATGAGTGAGTGAAGGAGCCTCCCTCCCCCGGCGAGATGCTGGGGCCCAGGGAGGGCTGGTGCTGGGCCCTGTGCCTGCCTGGGTGTGGGGGTGGCTCAGGGTCCCCCCTCCGAGGCGGGAACAGTCCTGGCCTGTGGGTCTGTCTGGCTGAGAACTCGGTGGGGGCCTGACCACCCCCAGACCTTCCTGTGCCTCGGTTTCCCGCGGTGTGCACAGGGGAGGCCTGCCCAGCCCCAGGTCTGCGTGTCCCCCCTCGGAGGTGTCCTGGGGTCCCCTCCCTCCCTCCCGAGTGGCCCCTTGGAGATCCCCGTGGGAGATGCTGTGTGCTGCCAGGTTCTGAGTGGGAGCCGGGCGCCCCGGCCGGTCCGGTGCTGGCAGGGCCGGAGGGCAGGGCGGGCGGGCGGGCAGGGGGCAGCCGGCAGGTGGACGTCCTGTGTCTGTGCCTCTCGCGTGGGGGGGGCTCTGGAAGCCGGCCCCTCTGTCCTCGCCTGGATTCCAGCCTGGGG